GATGTGCTCCTTACCTAGGCCTTGTTGAAGGTGGGGAAGCTGGTGTGGATCTCCACAATGGTCACCAGGAGTGGCAGGACAGATTTCTCTTTCATACTGTCAATCCTCAATCCCCACCCCAAGTACCTCCCCTGCACAGCTGCTCAGAAATGTGATACTGCCCCTTCTATTTCCAGACATCTTCTCAAGGCTCAGGAACATTGGCCTCTGCCGAGTCAGACATGGGCCAGTCCTCTTTCCATAACAAACAGAATCCCTAAAGCCAGAGAATGTGGGCTGATGCATCAAAGATCCAGGCTGGGGCAACTGCCTCCTGGCTGGATTTGTTCCTGCTCTCTCATCAGCTGAGGGGGGAGAAAGAGAAGAGGTGTCAGTGCTCCTGGTCTCAGGGAGCATCTCCTTACATTTTATTCCTTTCATGTGAACATCAAGAATCACCTAAGGTGCAAGGAGAGATTCCATTAAGGAGACTGGGTTCTAGGTCCCCAGCTCTAGCCCTGACTTGCAAAATTATCTTGAGGGACAATCTGCCATGCTTAGACTCCTGTCCAAAGACTGGGTTTCACTTCATCTCTTAGAGCATTTTGGGGGAGTCCCAGGTGCTAGGATGGAAGAAGCAATTCCCCAAAGTTTGTGTGAAGAGAAACAGTGATCCCAGATTTGGTCCAGCAGGCCAAGCTGTCTCAGATAGTATTTTCTGTTCAATCAACTGTGAACACTCAGTCCCTCCAAGGAGAGGGCTAGGCAATACTGTAGGCAAATGCTGTTTTTCACAGTAACAGTGACCAGTAGAGTGACTGCTGCTTTTCTTTTCTTTCTTTCTTTTTATAATTGAGATAGAATCTCACTTTGTCACCCTTGGTGGAATGCTGTGGTATCATAGCTCACAACAACCTCAAACTCTTAGGCTAAAGTGATTATCTTGCCTCAGCCTCCCTAGTAACTGGGACTACAGGGCCCAGGTTTTTTGTTTTTTTTTGTTTTTTTAGAGACAGAGTCTCACTTTGTCGCCCTGGGTACAGTGCCGTGGCATCACAGCAACTTCTAGCTCTTGGGCTTAGCCAATTCTTTTGCCTCAGCCTCCCGAGTAGCTGGGACTATAGGTGCCTGCTGCAATGCCCAGCTATTTTTTTGTTGCAGTTTGGTCAGGGGCCAGGTGTGAACCTGCCACCCTCGGTATATGGGGCCTGTGCCCTACTCACTGAGCCACAGGCACGGCCCCCCCCCCTTTTGTTGTTGTTGTTGTTTGTTTAGCAGGCCCGGGCTGGGATCCAAAGCACCAGCCCTGGAGCATGTGGCCAGCACCCTAAATACTGAGGTACGGGTGCACCCAGTGCCTGCTGCTTTTCTAGCATAGCAGGGCTTTGGGGCAGCCAGCCTCATTGGAAGAGGCAAAAGAACTTGTCTCAAAGCTCTTTTCTTTTCTTTTTTTTTTTTT